CTTTGCACGACATGTTTGACATACAACATCTTGATCACCATGATCCAAATATTCTGTAAAATAAAAGCGTTGAATAAAATATCAATGAATTTTATAATTATATAGAACATAGTATCTGAAATGTAAAATGGATTTTATTTTTTCATTACCATTTGAGATACCAACTATACGATTTTCATTGTTCACTTGATGTATATTTTCTACATCTTCTGTCAAATCAATCAATGGGATAGGGGATAAATGTCTTGTCTTCGTTTTTAATTTATGACATCCTGGATTTAACTTGATTGATGATGAAGAAGTTGTTACTGTAGATGCATTTTTTGATGTCATATCATTTGAAAGTACATGGTACTGTCTTTTCTTTGCTAACTTGGAAGTGATATATTTATCGAAACCAATGTTATCTGAATAAAATAAAAATAAAATAGTTAACTAAATAAATAAATATTTACATAATGGATAATAGTATATTTTAAAAACCATAAATAATTACCATTCGTAATGTTAGATAACGGATTTATAACATTTGTAATGTTAGAAAATGGAGTTCTAACATCTGTAAAGGAAGGACAGTATTGTATGGTTGTGTTATGCTTTGCAGGTGTTGTAAATGAATTGACATTTTGAGTTTGACGAACAATGTTGGTTGATTGATCTGCAAATAGAAATAACTTATAAAACTTGTAAATATATGTATTCAACTATATAACAGTAAAAGATGGAATATAAAATACTAATACGGTTATAGTTAATGGTTTTTTTGAAGAGATGTTGTAATGATATACTTGGAACGTTTGGTATTGTTTTTATTTTCTTCGATCTTTTATTTTCCAAATATATTTTTCTTTGTCTTCTTTTCTCTTTGGCCTGCATGTGGTACATGTTACTGTTGTTTTCTGCATAAGAAGACATAGGTTAGGAAATGAAATGTGAAATTATGTACATAATATGTTTATATAATACAATTGAAGTTAGTTAGAATTAAATAAATAATGATAATAAAGTAAATGTATTTAAAAAGTTACCTTTATTAATTTGTTTATTAAAATGTTAGCATCATGACTCATCATCCTCATTTCCAACCTAGGGTTTATTCGATTTAAATCTACTGTTTCCCCAATTTCAACCAATCGTGGGTTCGGATGATATCAGGGGTTAAAACCCTAGATCTCCATGGAATCAATGAAGGTAAAATTGTGTGATACACGATAATCGTGATGATTATAAATTGCTTATTGATCTTATGTATCTATTCAAGATTATTTTTTTACAATTAGAAAAACATCTATTCCAGCATATTGATTATTGTTGTAAATTTCAACCATAAATTCATAGAGAAAACAAAGTGATCTAAACTGATAATACTAACCTGACATATGGATATGGAAATCTTGCAGGTAGAACTGGAATGAGGATTACAACTTTAATGAAGCAGTTTGATGTAAGCTTAATGAAAAAAAAATCGCAGAAACAATTGAACATTAAGAAGACGAATGAGGTGTTTCAAAATTTTGGATTTCACGTTTTGAGTTAAAGTTATATGCTTGAATATTGGAAAAAGATTACGATTATATGATTTTATTGTTGTTGGATCTTTATTAGATATAATTTTCTTCCTGATTTTTTGGAATTTAAAAGATTACAACTAAAAATTAGTTTAATATTCAAATTTCATCTAAAAAAGGAGTATAGAATATTAGGAAATAGTTGGTTGAATATAGGTTATTTACAGAAGATAAGTAAATATGCTGCAACCATTACAAAAATGTATGAATTAATTTTAGAGAATCAAAGATATAAATTTTGTTTACAATTGGTTATTGATTATTTATTAAAAATAACATATTTATCGTGACAAAAATAATAGTTATTCTAAATAATAGACATAAATGTTCCATGTTTAAAATAATCAACATAAAGATGCGAAGGTGATTATGGTTAATATTCATTATTGGAGTCAAATGCAGTTCACGTGTAAAAGCAAAAATGTTCGCATTTGGTAATACAAATCAAAATTGGGTTTCGCATATGAGGTTGTATGGATTGGGGTTAAAGATGCGAAGGTGATTATGGTTAATATTCATTTCGTATTTGGTGAGACAAACAACTCAAATGCGAATGAACTAAAAAAAAATGACTGGAACATGCGAAGAAAGAGGGTGAATGAAGAATGTGAATTTTACAGTAGAATGCGAATTGGGGAAGAAAGCTAAGAATTTCGCATTTTTATTATACAAATTGATTGATTGATTGATTTGTCTTAATTGTTAATTGCGATATATGAAATACTTATCAAGTTAGGGGCAATATGGTCATTTTGAAGTAAAAGAAGCCTTGGTTATTAAATGAATCATACGAAGGATCTGTTATTTGATTTTGGAATTGGGGCGAATAATCGAACGATTTGGAGTTGCGAATTTGATTTTGAAAAGCCAATCAGTTGGGTTCGCATATGAAAACAGATAAGTTTTGATTTTGGATTAGCAATTGGGTTAATTGGTTATTGATTGAGGGACGATTCGTGAAGAAAAATGCGAAGTCAAGAAGGACTGTGAAATGTGATTTGTTCAATATTGGAGTCAAATGCAGTTCACGTGTAAAAGCAAAAATGTTCGCATTTGGTAATACAAATCAAAATTGGGTTTCGCATATGAGGTTGTATGGATTGGGGTTAAAGATGCGAAGGTGATTATGGTTAATATTCATTTCGTATTTGGTGAGACAAACAACTCAAATGCGAATGAACTAAAAAAAAATGACTGGAACATGCGAAGAAAGAGGGTGAATGAAGAATGTGAATTTTACAGTAGAATGCGAATTGGGGAAGAAAGCTAAGAATTTCGCATTTTTATTATACAAATTGATTGATTGATTGATTTGTCTTAATTGTTAATTGCGATATATGAAATACTTATCAAGTTAGGGGCAATATGGTCATTTTGAAGTAAAAGAAGCCTTGGTTATTAAATGAATCATACGAAGGATCTGTTATTTGATTTTGGAATTGGGGCGAATAATCGAACGATTTGGAGTTGCGAATTTGATTTTGAAAAGCCAATCAGTTGGGTTCGCATATGAAAACAGATAAGTTTTGATTTTGGATTCGCAATTGGGTTAATTGGGTTATTGATTGAGGGACGATTCGTGAAGAAAAATGCGAAGTCAAGAAGGACTGTGAAATGTGATTTGTTCAATATTGGAGTCAAATGCAGTTCACGTGTAAAAGCAAAAATGTTCGCATTTGGTAATACAAATCAAAATTGGGTTTCGCATATGAGGTTGTATGGATTGGGGTTAAAGATGCGAAGGTGATTATGGTTAATATTCATTTCGTATTTGGTGAGACAAACAACTCAAATGCGAATGAACTAAAAAAAAATGACTGGAACATGCGAAGAAAGAGGGTGAATGAAGAATGTGAATTTTACAGTAGAATGCGAATTGGGGAAGAAAGCTAAGAATTTCGCATTTTTATTATACAAATTGATTGATTGATTGATTTGTCTTAATTGTTAATTGCGATATATGAAATACTTATCAAGTTAGGGGCAATATGGTCATTTTGAAGTAAAAGAAGCCTTGGTTATTAAATGAATCATACGAAGGATCTGTTATTTGATTTTGGAATTGGGGCGAATAATCGAACGATTTGGAGTTGCGAATTTGATTTTGAAAAGCCAATCAGTTGGGTTCGCATATGAAAACAGATAAGTTTTGATTTTGGATTAGCAATTGGGTTAATTGGGTTATTGATTGAGGGACGATTCGTGAAGAAAAATGCGAAGTCAAGAAGGACTGTGAAATGTGATTTGTTCAATATTGGAGTCAAATGCAGTTCACGTGTAAAAGCAAAAATGTTCGCATTTGGTAATACAAATCAAAATTGGGTTTCGCATATGAGGTTGTATGGATTGGGGTTAAAGATGCGAAGGTGATTATGGTTAATATTCATTTCGTATTTGGTGAGACAAACAACTCAAATGCGAATGAACTAAAAAAAAATGACTGGAACATGCGAAGAAAGAGGGTGAATGAAGAATGTGAATTTTACAGTAGAATGCGAATTGGGGAAGAAAGCTAAGAATTTCGCATTTTTATTATACAAATTGATTGATTGATTGATTTGTCTTAATTGTTAATTGCGATATATGAAATACTTATCAAGTTAGGGGCAATATGGTCATTTTGAAGTAAAAGAAGCCTTGGTTATTAAATGAATCATACGAAGGATCTGTTATTTGATTTTGGAATTGGGGCGAATAATCGAACGATTTGGAGTTGCGAATTTGATTTTGAAAAGCCAATCAGTTGGGTTCGCATATGAAAACAGATAAGTTTTGATTTTGGATTCGCAATTGGGTTAATTGGGTTATTGATTGAGGGACGATTCGTGAAGAAAAATGCGAAGTCAAGAAGGACTGTGAAATGTGATTTGTTCAATATTGGAGTCAAATGCAGTTCACGTGTAAAAGCAAAAATGTTCGCATTTGGTAATACAAATCAAAATTGGGTTTCGCATATGAGGTTGTATGGATTGGGGTTAAAGATGCGAAGGTGATTATGGTTAATATTCATTTCGTATTTGGTGAGACAAACAACTCAAATGCGAATGAACTAAAAAAAAAATGACTGGAACATGCGAAGAAAGAGGGTGAATGAAGAATGTGAATTTTACAGTAGAATGCGAATTGGGGAAGAAAGCTAAGAATTTCGCATTTTTATTATACAAATTGATTGATTGATTGATTTGTCTTAATTGTTAATTGCGATATATGAAATACTTATCAAGTTAGGGGCAATATATTTTATTTGAGTTATAACCAAAATCAACTAACTTGTCCAATTTAAAACAATAAAAGTATCCAAAATATTCAAAACCAATAATATTTGACATCCTAAATACCCCAAAATAAAAATCATACCAAGCAATTAAAATATCTTTATAACCAAAACAAATGATCAAAATATATTAAATGTGTCTTATAACCGATAGAAACTCACTTTTCAATTTTTGGAATCAAGAGTGGAGTTTCCTCTGCGGTTGACTTTCTTTTAGCCTTAGTTGAACTTAAATCATATCCAGAATCAACATCATAAATTTCTTGGAGGTTGCGCTTCAAATCACCTGATATTTTGCAAGGACTTGTTGCGGTTGACTTATCAACTGTTGAGGGTGTAAAACTTTCGTCTGTTTGTGAGATCACATCCTAATTTAAAAAAAAAATGTTTGATTCCTAAAAAAATAACTAATATAATTAAAAGTTTATAAAATAAAATGAAAAACCTTTTGAACAGGCTGTACAACATCATCGGATTCCAAAGCAACTTGATTTAAGGAGACAGATTGATTACTCTAAAAAATAAAATGGAAATATGTTAATCGTTTTGTACTTTAACATTAAAGAATTGTAAATTTTCAACAATAAAAATTACATACCATAAGTTCTATTTTACTTTCCAATTCACAAACAATCGACATATCTTCTGTAACTCTGAGAACTGTGTAGATGTTATTATAGTTGTTGACATTGTATTCTGTAATATCTACAACAAAACCAAACTTGCGGTTTTTCAACACATTAAGTTGCATTGGAAATAGGGCATCACTGTCTCCGGCCTGTAAGATATATTTTAATAAATTAAAAAATTAAGTAAATGTTTTCTGATTTTAAAGGTATGAATAATATACCGCATCATGTATCTTTTTCAACTCGTAGGCACTTATATTTAACAACCTCCTTGCTTCCCTATCAAAAAGAGTCAATCCAATGGTTCCAGTACAATCTTGTACGTTAATTGGAATTATATACCTAAAACAAAAAATAATTATGTCATTGTTAGTGTTGTTTTAAGATTGACAAAATTAATAGAAATAAATATGTCTATACTTTATAACTGACTGAAATTCAGATTTTTTGCATTGTGCATTTGTACACTCGACAACCATAGTTTCTGAAATTCCCTCAGGGTTGGTATACGAATGATTGGTTTTGGGAACAGGGATAATTTTTTTCCACATTTTTTGCATGCTTCATAATACCATGGTAGATTCTGCCTTATATTAACAATGGAAGCAACTAATAAAAACTTCATTTCCTGTATCATATAAAATGTAAAAATTATTAAAATAAATTATGCAAAAATAAAATGTAAAACATATAAAATAATGCAATATACCTTAATTGGTTCGGTGATCTCACAGATTGTTTTTAATGGAAAATTGCCCTTAAAGTCATCTGTATATGAAGAAGAGTAGCTTTGAAGTGTAGTTATGCTTTTTTCAGTTATACCGAAATTGTCATGACATTTCAACCTGTAATGTTTAATTTAGATTCATGAATATTTGGTTTTGTGTTTTTTTTAAGTTAAAATACATTATAAAAAAATAAAAACAATTGGAAACTAACTTATTTTTAAACTCATTTATTTCATAAATGTCAGAATTTATGAACAATTTCGTTACTTCAAAATGACTTTTAGCTTCACCAAGACCTGTAAAAAATGTATATCCAATTATTAAAATTTATATAAAAACAGTAATTATAAACATCTATATATAAAGACTGAATACAAACCATTCCAAATGTTTAGCTTCAAAAATACATCACGATAACAACAAAATTAACAGTCGGGTTATTTTTTAGGTATTCTGAAATTTGATATGCTTGACTTCAAAAATAGTAACCTTCAGATGTACAGAACTAAATAAACCATAAAATAGTATATTAATATTAATTTGTGATTAATTAAAGATAATAAATAATAAATAAATAATACAATATAATCTCACTCTAGGTTGCTAAGAGTGACTTTTATATAATGCTTGGATGGTACTGGATTTGAAGTTTCAAGAGGCCTAAATGACACGATATGTCCAATAACATCTACACAACAGATACCACAAAAAATAAAAGTTTAGGATTAAATTCGTAATATTTAAATAATAAAATGTATAACCAAAAAAACAAATAAAAAAATGATTTTATTAATATTTTATGACTAACCAAAGAATGTGTCTTTTGGGCATGTTTGTTCTATGATAGAATTAAAGTCAACAAACATAAATCCATTGACCGGACCCGAGAAATCATCACATTTTTTTAGGATGCTTTTCCAATCCAAAGTTAAGGTCTGTTTATGACCTGTATAACTAAAACCATTAGTAACAGCAGCCATATTGGGTTTTATAACTATATAACTTTCATCTTCCTTTAAAAGATGACGAAATCTGGAGAAATTCTGATTGAAGACACGAGCTTGGTATTGTGTACCCTGTTTAAAAAAATTAAAAATTATTATGTTCATGAAACATGTCTAATATTGAATGATGAATAAAAATATATCAAATACAACAAACCTCCTCATCCATGATGATCATTTCAATGGAACAAACTTTATTATTTCTGACAAAGTTCCAAATTTTAAGCACCCGAACCTTGATATGCGATTTTTCATCTATCTGGTCAATGTTATTTAGGTAAACCTTATTTCCTATTTCCATTTTCTGCAATAAATTTAATCATTATAGAATTGTAAGGAAAATTAGCAACCTTTTAAATTAACAGCAAATCAAAGTAAATGAAACAGCAAAACAAAAAAAACATATTGTAATAGTTAAAGCTTTGAGGTTGTATGGATTGGGGTTAAAGATGTTCGCATATTGGAGTCAAATGCAGTTCACGTGTAAAAGCAAAAATGTTCGCATTTGGTAATACAAATCAAAATTGGGTTTCGCATATGAGGTTGTATGGATTGGGGTTAAAGATGCGAAGGTGATTATGGTTAATATTCATTTCGTATTTGGTGAGACAAACAACTCAAATGCGAATGAACTAAAAAAAAAATGACTGGAACATGCGAAGAAAGAGGGTGAATGAAGAATGTGAATTTTACAGTAGAATGCGAATTGGGGAAGAAAGCTAAGAATTTCGCATTTTTATTTATACAAATTGATTGATTGATTGATTTGTCTTAATTGTTAATTGCGATATATGAAATACTTATCAGTTAGGGGCAATATGGTCATTTTGAAGTAAAGAAGCCTTGGTTATTAATGAATCATACGAAGGATCTGTTA